ATGATATGTATCTAGCATGAAGGGGAAAAATGAGTTTATGAAATATCACCCTCCAGTACTAGTGGTAGTGGAACTACTAGCCCATGTATCAATCACAGTATCAGGTGAAGCTGGAATGTTTTTCTTCAATAACACAGCATCATCCGTTTCAGAAGGATGACGATGAACTTTTACAGTTCTTGTCTTGGTATTGCAGCTATTGATATCCTTTTTCTGATAATTTTTCCATTCACTGTATTTGATAAGCTTCAACGCTTCGTGTACTTCTTCCATTGTAGGTCTCATGTCCTTGACAACTTGCAAGCACTGGAAAGCTAGTTCTGCCACTGATGTTGTCATCCTCCTAACTTCAGCATCTGTCTCGAATCCAAGAGATGGATCAATCACCTCATCATATGCAGATTTTAGTATCCTGTTCATCGCGTAGTTTGCCAAATTAATCTCGTGCATACGTCTGTTCATATCTACAGCTCGCTTTGATGATATGAGCTCAACAAGGACAACCCCAAAGCTATAAACATCACTCTTATCAGTAAGGTGGTAACATTCATGATACTGAGGATCAACATATCCCGGGGTCCCCTGAGGTGCGGTTGAGATATGAGTAACATCATTAGGGAAGGATTTTGACAGCCCGAAATCTGCTACTTTGACACAAAACTTATCGTCCAGGAGAATGTTATTTGTTTTGACATCACGGTGTATGATGTCAGAAGCATGAAGGTAAGCCAACGCGCTAGCAGTTTCAATGGCGATTTTGAGCCTTATAGACCATGTTAGTAACTTATCCTTCGCTCTATGTCCGTTCAGGTGATCAGCAATTGTTCCATTAGGAATGTACTCATAAACAAGGAAGAGTTCACGGCTACGTCTTGATGCACATCCATAAAGGGTAACAAGATTTGGATGCCTAAGGCGAGTTAGAATTTCAATTTCATTGATAAATTGTTGCATTTGCCTGTGATTGTTCTCATAAAGGCTCTTAACTGCAACTTCTTTTCCATCTTTAAGTTTTCCTGATTTTAGAACATACAGAAACAGCTGTTAGATCAAAAGATGCTTACTACGTACATTTCCCCTCGAAAAGCAAAACAAACAAAAAAGACTTTTGTGGATTGTCTTTAGATTATTACTCCCTCCGTTTCAATTTGTTTGTCTTACTTTCCTTTTTAGTCGGTGTCAGAAAGAATGCATCTTCTTTTTTTGGCAGCTCTTTAATACTAACTTTTCACATGACATGTTTAAGACCACAAGATCAAAGAACGTTTTGATACATTCTACATACCACAAGACTCACAAGTCTTCTTTACTTTCTTAAACTCCGTGTCAAGTCAAAACCAGAAAAACAAATTGAAACGGAGGGAGTAACTTCTATGAAAAAAGCTTTCTTACCATAGTACACAGTTCCATAACCTCCATCACCAAGTTCTCTAGAAGAGCTGAATTTGTTGGTGGCTTCTTCAAGTTCTTCATAGGAGAATACAGGAATCCCTAGGTACTCACAACGTTCCTCGAGCTCGTGATGAATCATTGAAATACCAGATGTATTTCTTGAAATAAATTGTGAAGAATCATTTTTCCTCCTCATGTAAAACCATAGAAAAAAGGCAATTGCACAGAGTCCAACAACAGAACCGATAAATGCTGAAACTGAAACAAAAAACAACAACAACCGATCAACGAACATAAAACATGGACTAAAGTTAAATATTTTAGATTCTTTATATCTTTGTTATTGATAAGGGTAGCCTTGATACAATAATAAGAGTTTCCTTCATATGACCAAGGAGATCACAAGCTCAAGCGGTGGAAAACACTACTTCTTGTTATATCATACTCATTGTAGAAATAAACCTTTAAATGCTAAAATCTTGTAATGTAACAACAAAATTGCAGACAAAATGTTAAAAAGATAGGTACCTGCAACAATCAGTTTCGCATATTTATGATGACCTGCTGCAATCACAGTAAAAATGAAAATGTAAGATGAACCAAGAAAAGAAAAGAACTAAAATCTTTAATGTGAACCATGAAAAAAACTTCTCTTTACCATTGTTGGTATTGGCATTAGAACAAAGAAAGTTGTTAGTAGTATTATCTGTTTGACACCTTCCTCCTGTATAATAACACTGATTACACTCATCAGACACAGTCCATCCTAGCATAACTTCATCAGTTAACAAATGAAATAAGCCACTTCCATTTGTTTTTGCTTCTATATTTGATGTCAAAGGCAGCTGAATAAATGAACAGCTACTAGGAATATTATATACTTGATAATAATGGATGGAGATGTTATAGTATAATATGAAACTATCACAGACATTGTAACTTTGATAATTGCTGGAGTTGAAAAATTCTTCATTTCTACTCTTTTGGCTTCTGTTGCATTTGAACAAAGTCAGAAAGGGATCAAATCTATATGTGATTGAAGGAGAAATAGGGACAGAGAGATTTTTATCAAAAGTCTGACAACTGTTCTTCTTCAAAAGTTCTCCAAGATTAGTGTCCTTAAGTCTGATAAAAACATCAGCTTTTTCAAGAGCTTGATATTTCACCCCATTCAATTCAAGTATAGGATTTTCAGTATCTTCACAATAAACTTTGGACAATCCACAATCAAGTTCAGTGGATTTGTAGAAAGGAAAACTCAAATTTCCTAAGTTCCCACACTGGAATTCCTCTGTGCAGTTTGGGTAGGATGTGTTCTGTCCTTGAGCTGAATCAAAGCACCTAAAGTGAAACAAAACGAAGACGAAAAAACAAGAGAACATATCCATGATGAACCCTTTTGGATTAAAAAAACAACAAGAATAAGCAAGAATGTTAGTTAAAAAAAAAACTGAATTCTGCAGAGTTTGTTTTATTGTTTTTTTGGATTTATTTGGCAATAGGATTGCATTAATGTTGTTTATCTTTTGGACACGTTAAGTTGACTCAGACATGGGGAAACAAGACTTTGAAGAAACACAATTTGATGGAAGATTGGCCAAATGGGGTATGGGACCTTTGTGACTTTTACAACATGGGGAATTTTCAATTCACCTTCCTTCCCTTCATTAATGGTTCAAAGACAACTTTTCTTCGAGCATCCGAAACTTACTGATCCGACTAATTCAGATTCATGTCAAGTAAGCTCGTTAAGGAAGGTAAATTGTTCCTTATCAAGAAGTTCTCTTTTTTCAAGATTCGAGCTTGAGACATCCAGTTAAGGATAGACGGTTCTCAACTATCCTACCCCACTCTTTTTTACAAAGTGGGTAATTTTTTATTCACCTTCCTTCCATTTATCAGTGGTTCAAAGAAGCATATGATGTCCGAAACTCACTAATTTGACTAATTTAGATTCACATCATGTAAGCTTGATAAGGAAGGTAAATTGTTCCTTATCAAGAGGTTTTCTTTTCTCAAGACTCGAACTTGAGATATCTGGTTCTGACTTATTAATGGTTCAACGAGTCATCTGATGTCCAAAACTTACTGAGCCAACTAATTCAGATTCACGCCACGTAGGTCCACTAAGGAAGGCAAACCATTCCTTTTCAAAAAGTTTTCTTTTCTCAAGACTTAAACTCAAAATATTTTAATTGATTAAAGATAGACGGTTCTCAACCATCCTAGTTTTAAAATATGACTCTTTCTTATAAAGTAGACATGTCAAATCATTCCTTCCACATATTAGATGGCCCCATAAAGTAGTTAGGAAAAAATGAGTACCCTCTATTAAAAGTTGAAAAGGACACTGCATAATAAGTCTTTTCACTTTTGGCTCTTCTTGGTATAAAAAAAATAACTTTTTTAATTTTGTTTTCTTTTCAGTTTCTTTGGATGAAGCATGCCATATTGGACAAAAATTAAGAAAATCAAATAATATACTCAAGATTCCCTTATATGACCACAAGTTCTTATAGTTTTTTTCAGAATTTTTTTCTAACCAAAAGATTCTGTTTAATGTGGTTTACTGCTACTTTGGTAATATTAAACTTGCATTTTTAGTTTGAAATTTTCTTTTAATTATTTTTTAAACCAAACTCAATAAATCTATTCAAATTACTTCTAAAATGTGGTAATTGAGTCAATTAATGAGATGGAATTCTTAAGACCAGTCTAAATCTAGAATTGTGGAATTCTTAAACATCATAATTATATGGTTATCTTTCTAACTCTCATTATTATTTTTGTTGTTGGTCTTTGGTCATTATATTTTTTGTAGTGAAGCCCAATTATGGAGAAAATGTAGCCTCCATACTTTGTATCGTGGCGGAGCTAGGGGGCGTTAGGGGTTCATCTGAACCCCCCTCGCCTTTGAAAATGACACAATATTTACGAGGTTAAAACTATCCTTTTACGGATAGGTTATAGTAGATGTTGAATCTCCTTGACTTCTTCATGTGTTTATTTTTTATATTTTGAATCCCTAAATATCTTGATTCCGCTACTTAATATGTTTAGTGCAAATCCATACTCTAGAATTGTATTTGGTGTGCCTCATTTTCAAAAACTGCATTAGACCTATCTATTGCCATTCATAAAGAGATGAACTCTATGGTGCTTTTTGAATGAGCTACTTCAGAACAGGAAATATTTTGACATATGTTGAATGCTGTCCTTAGAACGGACCATATAAATAGAGGTGATCTATGCATAGTCATTCTAGGCTAGGGCGGAGCTACAGTTCGACTTACAGATTCAGCAAAACTTCTGAATTTCCCGGTCCAACCTAAAATGGAGGGAAACACTGGCATGATGAGACTAGAAATAGCTAAATCGACTGCTCCTCTAGAATGGTTAGTAATACCACTTAAGGGCGGATAAACTGTTCACTCAGTGCCACTAGCAACTTCTACTACGGGTAGTCTTAATAAGAGCAAGAGACTTGGAGGCGACAACTAGAACGAAGCGAGCATGAAACAAGTACCCAATAATACTCAGTTAATGTTATGACTTGGCTCAATTTTCTGTGTATTTTTGTTTATCTACATGAACTATGAAACAAAAAAAAAGAAGATGAATATTATGTACTAAGTGGTACTTGTGCTAGAGTCACTAATCCACACTTGAGTTACTGAAATTGGTGAAGTTGGAAACTTGTTGAGTTTCTTCAATAATACATCTACTTCTGATTCAGGTGAAAGAGGGACTTGTACACTCTCTTTCGTGTTTCCGTCACAATCGATTTTCTTCTCATGTGTAAACTCACCATGCTGAATTTCTTGCAATGTTTCTAGTACTTCAACCATAGTAGGTCTCATGTCCTTGTCATGTTGCAAGCATCTAAACGATATCTCGGCTACTGAAGTAGTCATCCTCCTAACTTCTGCATCAGACTGAAAACCGAGGGACGGGTCTATCAGTTCATTGAATGCACACCTTAAAATCCTGTTTATTGCATAGTTAGATAAGTTGATCTCTTCGTTACGTCTACTGAAGTCTACTGCAGGCATGGATGATAACAGCTCAACAAGGACTACCCCAAAGCTATAAACATCACTTTTATCAGTAAGCTGGTAACATTCGTGGTACTTTGGATCGACGTAGCCAGGGGTACCTTGAGGTGCAGTTGATATGTGAGAAATATCAGTTGGATGAAGTCTTGAAAGTCCAAAATCTCCAACTTTGACACAGAAGTTTTGATCAAGTAGTATGTTGTTACTCTTCACATCGCGGTGGATTATATCAGAAGCATGCAGATATGCTAGAGCAGTGGCAGCTTCAATAGCAATTTTCATTCGGATAGGCCACGTGAGTGAACCATCCTTCACCTTATGACCATGTAAGTGATCAGCAATCGTTCCATTTGGGACATACTCATAAACAAGTAAGAGTTGATCGCTGAGTTTAGACGTGCAACCATAAAGAGTGACAAGATTTTTGTGCCTTAACCTTGTTAGAATTTCAATCTCAGTTACAAACTGCTCCTTTCTCCTAGCATTGTGGTCGTAGAGGCGTTTTACTGCAACTTCTCTTCCATCCTGAAGTTTCCCTAGTTTGTAGCATACAAGAATTAGAATAAACGAAAATGAAGAAAGTGATGGCTAGACATCTGCATGGTCAAAAGTTTCTTACCATAGTACACTGTTCCATATCCTCCATCCCCGAGTTCTCTGGATGAATCGAAATTCATGGTAGCTTGTTGAAGTTCAGCATAAGAGAAGACGGGAACCCCAAAGAACCCGCTGTCTAATTCGTAGCTTTGTGTTGAGGGCTCTGAAGGGATGCTTCTTGGAAGAACATTAGTAAAACTTCTATGACTCTTCTTGCAACAGCAGATTATATTGATCACTATGCTGATTGCTATAATAAAAATTCCACCAAGCACTGCAGAGCAGATGAGATATTAAACAGGTTACATTTTATTCAATGTTGCTCAGACTCTCCCAAAATGCTCTCGTACACGTGTCAGACCCTCCAAAATTTCACTACTTTTCGAGGATCCGCCATAAACCTGATAACATTTTTGAAGAGTCCGAGCAACATAGAGTTAAAATAAAAGTTATGGCATAGTATTGGCCTCAGCTAACAAGTAAGCACTCCGACTTTGAGAGTGCACATCTAAACACCTCAGCTTAGTCTCAACTGACAACTAAACACTCCAAACTCATCCTCACTATGCCTCATGGACACCCAATGTTGACGTGACACAGAAATTTTGGAGGTGTTCAGATGATCGTTTCGTTTTGTAAGTTGGAGTGTTCAGCTACCACAATGGAGACAAGTTTAGATGTCTAGATGTGCATATATGCTCAAAGTTGGAATGTTTACTTGTCAGTTGAGATCAAGTTTCGAGTGTCTATTTATGTATTATGCCAAAAGTTATTGATTATAGACTATAGTAAAGTACCTGAGCCTAGAATCAATCCCAAATTCTTTTTTGCTGCTGCAAAACACACAAATGACAGTTCAATTAGTCACAAAAAGATTGAACTAAATGCACATTCATCCACATTAACATAGTAAAGAAAGCAACAAATACCTTTGGAGCAAAAGAAGTTATTTTTGCTGTCACTTTGGCATTGTCCTTCTCTATAAAAACACTTAGAACAATCTTTAGACACTTCCCAATCCAATGTGAAATTAGAACTCAACAACTCAAACAAATCAGATGGAACTGGTACTGAAGTTGGAATATACTTCAAAGGCAATCGAATAATCGAGCAGTTTGCAGGAAGATCATTCTCATCAACTGGAATACTATAGTTTCTATGATCTGTTCTTGGTTTATGATAGTACAAGTTAAATCCATCACAATTCAAGTACTTCTCATAACGTCGAAAATAACCACCTATCTCCTCATTAGTACTACCATTCATACATTTGAACAAAGTGATATTGTTGAATACACCAAATGAAACAGAAGGTGTATTAGGAAAAGATAAGTTCCTTTCAAAGGATTTACAACTTCTAGTAGCTAAATAACCTTCAAGAATCGAGTCCGAAAGATCGATACCATCAACCCATAGCCACTTCTTGTAAGCATTGTATGTCACACCTTCAATCTCAACTTTTGGATAATGAAAAGTGTTGTTACAATCAATCTTTGATAATCCACAATATGGTTTATTGAATTCTGAAAAAGGATAACTCATGCTACCAAGTCTTCCACAATTGAACTCTTTTGGACAAGATAATTTACTCTCAACTTCAACTAAATTGAATATAACAACATGAAACATAAAGAACATAGCAAAAAAATAGGCTAAAGCCATAAGTCTAACTCTAAAAAAACTTCAACTAAGTATATCATACATAAGTAGAAAAAGTTATTATAAGACAAAATATTAGTATTACCAAAAATGTTCTCTAGTTCACTCTCAATCCATTTTATACTATAGTTTGGACTTTCTTTTTAAAAAATGACAAAAATGGTCCCTTATGTTTAGGAGTATGTTCAATTTAGTCCCTTAAGTATCTTCTAAGCAAGTTTTGGTCCTTTAAGTTTGTCAAATTAGACACTTTTAGTCCTCCGCCAAACATTTAGCAAACTCTACTATAAGTCTAATTAGACACTTTTAGTCCTCCGCTAAATATTTAGCAAACTCTAGTTAGACATAACGAAAACCATGAAAAAAGAAAGATTTAACCCGAAACATTATTATTAAATCCTGAAAATTATTGCCCTCCTAATCTGAGTTATTTTTCACAATTCATGTATAACCGAACATGTAGAGTTTGTTAAACATTTGAAGGAGGACTAAAAGGTGCTCGTTATTTTGGCAAACTTAAAAGACGAAAATCAAAGAACTATTTTGAACCTACCTCCAAATATAAAGGACTATTTTTGTTCTTTCCAAGACTTATTATCTCATCTTGTATCAATAATTCAAACAAGCACTAAAGATTATAAAAACAAAATGGTAGGGACCATTAACTCATTAAGTTTGCAAGTGGAAATATGAAAATGAAAATTTTTGAGTATTTTGCTTACCAACTTTTCATTGACCGTAACTTCAGCCGAATTAAGAGACTTTCAATATAATTTGACTATTAAAAAAATAATCATATATTTAATAATTAATCTAGAAAAAAAAATACTTTTTGAATTAGTCTATGCCTGGGTTTCTACTCCATTGTACTTTTCTGACAACAAGTGGTGACAGCTAATATTATTAAAATGCATTTTGCTTAAAGACTATTCTTATTAATTTACGTGACACTATTTGACTAATGTGAAGTTTGAAAAAAAAAGTAAATTTTTAAAATTTGTGGTTTAAAATAAGTTGTAAACTCATTTTATTAAGGATAAAATGTAATTTTAAATTTGAGCTATGTCTAATTATAGAAAGGCGGTTTTTTTTTAGATAGATCAAAAAAAAAAGTGTGTAACGTAAATTGGGACAGAGGGATTAGTGTACTTTGAGAGCAAACTTCTTTGAATGTACTAAACCATTGAATAAAAGCAAAGACAAAGACAAAATATATTTGTTTAATTAAAAAAAAATATTTGTTTAATTTTAATAAAATAAATGAATATAGAAATGGAATATTCTTTTTTTGTTTTTGTCATTTTTTTTTGGCAGGTCAACTATTGGCTAAAGCTAGAACATGGAATATAGAGGTTCATCCATTTGAAGTTGGAGTTAGGAAAAAGTCGATTTTGCCCTTAATCCTAATGGAGCTCTAACTTGAGAATAATTTTTAAACTATAGTCAAAAGTTGAGGGGTAAATTTGGACTTTTCTTCTCAAAGAATTTGGACACGTGAAGTTCACCTATTTTAAGTTGGAGCTTCATTAATATACAAGGGCAAATATGAGACGATTTGGTAACGATAAAATATGAATGGATCAAAAGTGTAATTGAATCACTTTCACTCATAGATACAAAAACCTTTATCATAAAAAATAAAAAATAAAAAAAGACAGAAAGAGTAACCGTTTATAACACACATGTGATATAACAAGCTAGAATTAAAGTTAGATATACTAAGATACATAGTTCAAGAAACCTATTACCTATGTTGCTCAACTCTCCAAAAAATTTGTCGCACCCGTGTTGGATAAAATTCACTACTTTTGGAGTATCCGACACACCAAAGGATATTTTCGAAGAGTCGGAGCAACAACATAGCAAGACACTTCTCACAGTAGCAACAACACTGCTACTACTTTGTATTAGCTATAGTACTAGAGCAAGTAGTCCATTTATCAGTCACAGAATTTGGTGAAGGTTGTGATTTAACTTGATTCAGCAATAACTTAGCTCTCTTCTCATTGTCAAATTCACCTGTCTGAATCTCTTTTAGAGTATCCAAAACTTCAGTCATAGTAGGCCTCATGTCCCTATCTGTCTGTAAGCATAGAAATGCCAACTCTGCAACTGATCTAGTCATTTCCCAAATCTTGGTATCTGAATCGAATCCCAGGGATGGATCGATCAACTCGTTGAATGCACATTTCACAATCTTGTTTATAGCAAAGCTAGCTAAATTAATCTCTTGACTATGCCTCATCATATCCACAGCTGGCATTGATGAAATGAGTTCAACAAGGACCACCCCGAAGCTATAAACATCACTTTTTATGGTCAGCTGGTAACATTCATGATACTTTGGATCGATATAGCCAGGGGTTCCCCGGGGTGCAGTTGAGATATGAGAGACGTCATTTGGGAAGAGACGTGATATCCCGAAATCTGCAACTTTGACACTGAAACTCTGATCAAGGAGTATGTTATTAGTCTTGACATCACAGTGTATTATGTCAGAAGCATGAAGGTAAGCCAATGCACCAGCAGATTCTATGGCAATGTTCAAGCGGACTGGCCAGGTGAGTGATCTGTTCTTCGCTCTGTCACCATGGAGGTGATCAGCAAGAGTTCCATTAGGAATGTATTCATAGACAAGGATTAGTTCATGGCTTCGCCTTGAAGTGCAGCCATAAAGGGTGACAAGATTGGTGTGCCTTAGCCTAGTAAGGATCTCAATTTCATTTACAAACTGCTGCATTCGTTTGGAGTTGTGCTCGTAAAGGCGCTTCACAGCAACCTCTCGTCCATCCTTAAGTTGTCCTAGTCATTAATGAACAAGTATTAGGCACATGAAGAAAGAACTGAAGCATAGCTCAGTTAGATTAGGAAATCTCTCACCATAGTAAACAGTTCCGAAACCTCCATCTCCAAGGACTCGAGAGGATTTGAAATCATTCGTGGCTTCTTCAAGTTCTGAATAAGAGAAGACTGGTATGCCAAAGTATATACTGCTTCCCTCAACATCATTTTTAAATATATATGACAATTTCCTTGTTGAGAGGAAGTGGGGTGGATTAAATTTCCTCTTCTTGTAACACCAGATAAAGTAGACAGCTAAACAAGTTATCATCACCAATACTCCACCAAAAACTGGAAATAAATAAAAATCGAAGGTTACCAAAAAAAAAAAAAAGAAGCAAAACATCTCAACTCCACTTTGTCATTATGGATATGTTTTGAGCATTTACCACAATGAAAAAGAGAATTCAAAGAACATGTATGGAAATTCTGAAATAGAAAAGAAAGATGAGGTTGATGGATATTTAACTACCTGTTCCAAGAATCAGTCCCAACTCTCTTCTATTTGCTTTTGCATCTAAACAGAAGAGGGAAAATTATCAGATGTCATATGAAACAAAAAAGGACCGTAAGAAATATGCATTTGACCTTGAACATGTTAATTATTTTGAGATGTCTACCTTTGTAACAAAGAAAATTGTTCTTCTTATCAGTCTGGCATCGACCTCCATCATAGTGACATTCGTTACAGTCATCAGACAATTTCCATTCTACTAGAATTTCAGGACATAAGAAGTTGACCAAATTATTACCAGGTTCTGTTTGGAAATATGGCAATCTGATAAGTGAACAGTTGGCAGTATGATTGCCTGCTAGAATGTCTTCATCATCAACTCCATAAAACTTGTAGTATATGGTGAATCCATCACAGCCATCGTATGATTCATAACCATCAAAATGATCTTTTATCGTCTGATTAATGTATGGGTTGTTACTACTAGTCCTGTTGCATTTGTAGAAGTTCTGAAGGTTAACTGCAGTGTAAGAAATAGAAGGAGAGTCTGAAAGGGAGATATTTTCGTTAAAAGCCTGGCACTTGTTTTTCCTCAATATAGTTTGAAGCTTCGGGTCCACGAGCAAAATAATATAACTATACTCCTTGCCTCTAGCATAGTACCATTCTCCTTCAGGAAGCAGTTGGATTGTTGGAAATGGTTTAGCATCACAACCAGAGATGGGAACTATTCCGCAGTCGGGTTGTGTGGAAAGAGAGAAAGGAAAGCTCAGGTCAGTAAGATTGCCACATGAAAAGGACTTTGGACAAGTTGAATCATTTCTCCCCTTTGCCTGAACTAACATCAGAAGAAGAGATAGAATAAAGCAAACAGACGAAAAAGCCAAAGACATATTGTGAATCCTACTGAAAGAAGAGCAAAGCTAGCTGAAGTTTTGTGAATTGCAACTCTAGCTCACCAGACTTGTATCTTATAAGATCAAGTGCCATAACTTCTAAACACTTTCTCTATTTATAGTCTCCATCTTACTGGTAAAACTTGTCAAAAAGACTTACTAGGTGGAACCAAAAATAATCAGACTTATTGAGCAAATGAAGACAAGGCTTAGAAAAAATGAAAACATTCACATCAGTAAAGACTTGACTTCTTTGCTCTGCAATATACCAGGCAACTTCTTATCAGTTTCAGGACCAAAGTCTTCAAAAATGGTTGACTTAACCTGTAGAAATATGAAAATGAAAAGGTTCTAGTCACACCCCAAAACACAACTAAAGATAGTTTGATAATGTAAAAAGAATACTGCATACTTATCAGGTAGCTTCATATCTCCTCCTTATGGTGAACAAATCCAGTCTTCCATTTGCTCATTCTCACTAGAAATTACCAAGAAAGTTTTTCAAGTATAGCAGAGTATATACGGTGTAAGCTAGAAATACTTGCAATGTTCCAAGCCATCTTCTATAAAATTTTGAAAAAGTAACAAATCAGCAATCAGTATTCTAGAATATGGAACACTGACCCCTCTATTCCATGACTAACATTGAAACAATAGTGCATATCACTATGACTAAATACTCAAATTGACACTCGTACTTGCATAAATTTCTAACGATGGCCCCTCAATTCCATGAAACATTAACCTTATCTTCTTCTTTTTTCTCTAACTTCTCCCATCATTTTCTGTTACACCAGCTTTTGATCCCAAAAAGAAAAGAAAATGTGTCATTGGATGGAGCCACCGCTTTACATTTTCCAACCTTCCAGTGTATATAACAGCTCTTATATAATGAAACTAAAAATTGAATCACTTTCACTCGTAGATACATTGCTCAAGAAACTTCTCCGAGTAGTACATTCATAGTCTCTCAAAATCTACATCAATAACAAAGGAAGGGGGTACAGAACTACTTTGTATTAGTTATACTAGAGCAAGTAATCCATTTGCCAGTCACAGAATTTGGTGAAGGTAGTGATTTAACTTGTTTAAGCAATAACTGATCTTCTGATTCAGGGAAAGGAAATACTTTCTTTTCATTGTCAAATTCACTAGTCTGAATCTCCTTTAGAGTATCCAAAACTTCAACCATAGTAGGCCTCATGTCCCTATCTGTCTGTAAGCATAGAAAAGCCAGCTCTGCCACTGAAGCAGTCATTTCCAAAATCTTGGTATCTGAGTCGAACCCCAGGGATGGATCGATCAACTCGTGAAATGCACATTTTACGATCTTGTTTATAGCAAAATTAGCCAAATTAACTTCTTGGCTATGCCTGTTCATATCCACAGCTGGCATTGATGAAATGAGCTCAACAAGGACCACCCCGAAGCTATAGACATCACTTTTACTAGTCAGCTGATAACATTCTTGATACTTTGGATCAATATAGCCAGGGGTCCCCCGGGGTGCAGTTGAGATATGAGAGACGTCATTTGGGAAGAGACATGATATCCCAAAATCTGCAACTTTGACACTGAAATTCTGATCAAGGAGTATGTTATTAGTCTTGACATCACAGTGTATTATGTCAGAAGCATGAAGGTAAGCCAATGCACCAGCAGTTTCTATGGCAATGTTCAAACGGACTGGCAAGGTGAGTGATCTGTTCTTCGCTCTGTCACCATGGAGGTGATCAGCAAGAGTTCCATTAGGAATGTATTCATAGACAAGGAGTAGTTCACGGCTACGCCTTGATGTGCAGCCATAGAGGGTGACAAGATTGTTGTGCCTTAGCCTAGTAAGGATCTCAATTTCATTTACAAACTGCTGCATTTGTTTGCAGTTGTGCTCGTAAAGGCGCTTCACAGCAACCTCTCGTCCATCCTTTAGTTTTCCTAGTCATTGATGAACAAGAATTAGGCACATGAAGATATAGTTGAAACATAGCTCAGTTGGATTAGTTCCTCACCATAGTAAACAGTTCCAAAACCTCCATGTCCAATTACTCTGGAGGAACTGAAATCATTTGTGGCTTTTTCAAGTTCTGAATAAGAGAAGACTGGGACACCAAAGTATTTGCTCCCTCCCTCAACATCATGTTTAAATATATCCGAGAATTTCTTTGCTGAGAGGTAGCGGAAAGGACTAAATTTCCTCTCCTTGTAACACCAGATAAAGGAGACAGCTAAACAAGTTATCATCAACAATCCTACTCCACCAAAAACTGAAAGAGAAGTCAGTAAACCAGGTCACTCAAATAAAAAAAAAAAAAAAAGATAGCAAGGAGAAGGAATTTTCCTTTTTTTTTTGATGAAAAAAGGTAATAGATTTCACTAAAGAGTGCCAAGAAGGTATAAGAAAGAGAACAGACTACAAAATTTCCTTCTATATGTTGAATGAATGCAAAATATTTAACATAGCGTTCATATCCGATACAATGCTTTCTCTACACCATAAGTATAGACTTTTCAAACATCTAGATTTGACATGAAGTATTTTTCCCTCCTATCATCATTAGAACATCAGTCATTCTTCTCCTGCCAGACATTCCAGAAAGAATTTTCCCTCAACTCCATTATCCATATGTTTTGTGTAACGGAACTTTTTGAACTGAAAGAATTTAAATCTCTTCTTTATGTTTCTTTATGTCAAGAGAAAGTTGTTGAACTTATACCACTATAAAGATGAAAACTCAAATGATATGCATAGAAATACTGTAATAGCAAATAGCATTGCAGCTTCATATAAATCAAAACTACCTGTGCCTAGAACCATCCCCATACTTCTTCTAGTCGTTGCATCTACAAAAGAGAAAATGTTATGACATATTATCGATATGTGATATGAAAACAAAAAAGGACCCTAAGAAATATGCACTAGACTTTGAACATGTTGATTATTTGGAACTGTCTACCTTTTTGACAATAAAATTTGTTGGTTGTATCCGTCCGACATTGACCTCCATCATAGTGACATTTGTTACAGTCATCAGAGAGTTTCCATTCTACTAGAAATCCGGGAGTAAAAAAGTTTCCATCTACTGTTGGGTGAATTGGCAATTGGAGAAGTGAACAGTTGGTAGTAAGATTGCCTGCTGGAAAGACTTCATCATCATCTCCGGGAAGATTGTAGTATATGTTAAAGCCTTTACAACCATTGTACATTTTATAACCAGAAAAATGCTCGTTGTGCTTCAAGGTACTACTAGCACTGTTGCATCTGTAAAAATCCGTCATAAATATTTGGAGAATTTTGAAAGATATAGAAGGAGAATCTGGAAGGGAGATATTTTTGTTAAAAGCCTGGCACTTGTTTTTCCTCAAGATAGTTTGAAACTTCGGGTCCACAAGCAAAACTGTATAATTAAACGGCATACTTATAGCATCATACCAATCTCCTCCAGGAAGCAATTGGATTCTTGGATATTGTTTAACATCACAACCAGAAATGGACATAATTCCACAGTCAGGTTGTGTTAAAAGAGTGAAAGGAAAGCTCATGTCAGTAAGATTTCCACATGTAAAGGACTTTGGACAAGCTGAATCATTTCACCCCTTTGCTTGAACTAAAATCAGAAGAAGAGATAGAATAAAGCAAACAAAAGAAGAAGCAAAAGCCATATTGAATCGATACTGCAAGAAGAGGAAAGAGAGCTGAAGATTTGTGAATTGCAACTTTAGCTAAACAGACTATCTTATAGGCTCAAGTTCCATAACTAGTAGTTATCTTATTCATATATATTTGTAAAAAAGGAAACACTATGTACAGCCAAACGTATAAGAAGGGTCAGACTTATTGAGCAAAAGAAAGGCAAAGTAAAAAGGAAATTTCCATAGTACCTTTTCGTAAACAACCAAACGTATAAGAGGGGTCAGACTTATAGGGGAAAAAGAAAGGCGAAGAAGAATAGGAAATCTTCACATTACCTTTTCTAGCCATCAACACCAGTAGAAAGACTTGACTTGTTGACTCTGTGTACTAACAGAGACTTCTCAACATTTGTCAGGACCGTCTCCAGAAATGGAAGATTTCAACTGTAGAAATAGAAGCAATATTCATTTCAGTTGTCTGAAAGTTAAATGGTTTGCAGATACATCCGAAGGCACATAAAGATATGATAATGAAATTTTCAGGACCAACCTTCCATTTGTTCATTTTTCTCACTAGAAACTATCAAGAATATGTTTCCAACCTTCATCACTAGAAATATTTGCTATGTTCCAGGCCATCTGAAAAAGAATCAATCATTAATTTTCATCCCTAACTTATGCAACACTCAACCTAGAAATCCAAGACACCTTGAGTGTATGACAAAGATTGAAACAAGAGTGCATATAACGATGACATAATACTTATATAAACACTTGTACTTGCACAGATTTCTAATGCCGGTCCTCAATAACTCCATTAGTTCTCGATTAAAAAGTTCTTAAAATTGCCAGTGTATACAACTTAAACTTCTATAGAAATTTAAAATTGGATCACTTCTACTCATAGTACATAGCTCAAGAAACTTCTCACAGTAGTAAATTTGCAGTCTTCCAAAATTTCCATAAAATTAACAAAGAACCCCAAGGGGTATAGAAATTTTAACTACTTTGTACAAGTTATATCGGAGCAAGTAATCCATTCATCAGTCAGAGAATTAGGAGAAGGTAGTGATTTAACTTTCTTCAACAAGAAAATATCTTCTGATTCAGGGAAAGGAGGAGCTACTACTATTTTAGCTTCATTGGCATTGAGATTAGTCTGAATCTCCTTTAGAGCATCTAAAACTTCAACCATAGTAGGCCTCACGTCCCTATCTGTCTGCAAGCACAGAAAAGCCAGCTCAGCCACTGAAGTAGTCATTTCCCAAGTTTTGGTATCTGAATCGTACCCCAGGGATGGATCAATCAACTCATTAACTGCAGATTTTATGATCTTGTTTATTGCATAGTTGGCCAAATTGATCTCTTGGCTATGCCTGTTCATATCCACAGCTGGCATTGATGAAATGAGCTCAACAAGAACCACCCCAAAGCTATAGACATCACTTTTAATGGTCAGCTGGTAACATTCGTGATACTTTGGATCAATATAGCCTGGGGTACCCCGGGGTGTAGTTGAAATATGAGAGACATCATTTGGGAAGAGCCTTGAAATCCCAAAATCCGCAACTTTAACACCAAAGTTGTGATCAAGGAGTATGTTATTAGTCTTCACATCGCAGTGTATTACGTCAGACGCATGCAGGTAAGCCAATGCACCAGCAGTTTCTATGGCAATGTTCATGCGGACTAGCCAGGTGAGTGATCCGTCCTTCACTCTGTCACCATGGAGGTGATCGGCAAGAGTTCCATTAGGAATGAATTCATAGACAAGGAGTAGTTCACGGCTACGCCTTGAAGTGCAGCCATAGAGAGTGACCAGATTGTTGTGTCTTAGCCTAGTAAGGATCTCAATTTCATTTACAAACTGCTGCATTCGTTTGCAGTTGTGCTCGTAAAGGCGCTTCACAGCAACCTCTCGTCCATCCTTAAGTTTCCCTAGACATTAATGAACAAGTATTAGGCACATGAAGAAAGAATTGAAGCATAGCTCAGTTGGGTTAGGAAGTCTCTCACCATAGTAAACAGTTCCGAAACCTCCATCTCCAAGGATTCGAGAGGAATTGAAATCATTTGTGGCTTCTTCAAGTTCTGAATAAGAGAAGACTGGGATGCCAAAGTATATACTGCCTCCCTCAACATCATTTTTAAATATGTATGACAATTTCCTTGTTGAGAGGAAGTGGGGCGGATTAAATTTCCTCCTCTTGCAACACCAGATAAAGTAGACAGCTAAACAAATCATCACCAATCCTAATCCACCCAAAACTGGAAAAAATATCAGTAATCAGAGGTTTTCAGACAAATGAAAACATCGCAAGGAAAAAGAAAGTGTCCTCTCAACTCCACTATCCAATCATTTTGTGTAAGCTAAAGTACTTACCTCTCTTATCATCCTTTATCATTAAGGAAATGTTTTGAGATTTTATCACAATGAAGAAGAAATTCAAACGATATGCATGGAAATTCTGTAATAGAAAAGACCGAAAGGACACTGCAGTTAATGGATATTTAACTACCTGCTCCCAGAGTCAGTCCGAACTTTCTTCTAGCCATTTTTGCATCTAAAGGAAAAAGAGGGAAAATATTATGAAATATTATAGATATGAATACAAGACAGGACACTAAGAAAGATGCACTGTGTGACTGAACCTTGTTCATGTGGATTATTTTCTTGATGACTTTGAGCTTGTGGACTATATGGATATGTACAGTGAAATTTGTTGTTTATATCAGTCTGGCATTGACCTCCGCCATAGTGACATTTGTTACAGTCCTCAGAGATCTTCCATTCTACAAAAAAAGTGGCGCTTAACATATTGAACACACCATCATCATCTGATATCGAGCGGATCGGCAATCCGATAAGTGAACAGTTTGCAGGAAGATTGCCTGCTCGCACGTCTTCATCATCACCTCCAGGAAGCTTGTAGAATAAGCTAAAGTCTTTACAGCCACTGTACATTCTATAACCAGCAAAATGATCTTTCATCTGCTGGGTAATGTTTGGGGTGCTACTACTAGTGCTATTGCATTTGAAGAAGTTGAGAATATTCAATGGGAGAATTTCAAAAGAAATAGAAGGAGAGTATGGTAAGGAGAACTTTTCGTTAAAAGCCTGGCAGTTGTGTTGCCTCAACTTGGCATGAAGCTTGGGGTCCTCAACCAAAACTGTATAATTATACATATTTACTACAACATAGTACGAATCTCCTTCAGGAAGCAATCGGATTTTCGGAAATGTTTTAGCATCACAACCAGATAAGAACATTATTCCACAGTCAGGTTGTGTGGAAAGAGAGAAAGGAAAGCTGAGGTCAGTAAGAAAAGGACTTTGGACAAGTTGAATCATTTCTTCCCATTGCCTGAACTAACATCAGAAAAACAGATAGAAGGAAGCAAAATAAAGAAGAAGCAAAATCCATATTTCAAGAAGAGGAAAACTAGCTGAAGGTTTTTTCATTATACAGTAATAACTCTACCTAGATCTATTAATAGTCTTTAGCTTAATTGTAAAATTTGTCAAAAAGAAACCAAACGTATAAGAAGGGTCACACTTATTAGGAAAAAGAAAGGCAATACAAAGAAGAAAAAAAATTGAAGCTTTCACATTGACGCAAGTAGAAAGACTTGACTTCATGACTCTGTATACTAACAACAACTTTACTCATTTCAGTTTTCGGAAATTTAAATGGTATGCAGATACATTCGAAACATGAAAACGAAAAATGAAATGGTTCTAGTCACAACTCACACCCTAAAAGATACGTAAAGTTAGTAAGATGATGTAAAAAGAACATTGCATATCCATTTGCTTATTCTCTCACTAGAAACTACCAAGAAAGTTTCTAAAGATCAGTGACGCAGCCAGAAATTTACGTAAATTGTCTTCTAAGTTACGTTAAAGGTGTGCAAAATTATATAATACACTTATAATATCTAAAATTTAACCTCTGCACACCACATAATTTTGCAACGAATAGTGTGCATCACGGAGTCAGCAAACTATGTACCAAAGTCATCACTTTAAAAAAGAACCAATCTTTAGTTGTCATATCTAGCCTCTAGAACACTCACCCTAGTATACATGATGACACTATGGGTCGTTTAGTACGCGGAATAAGATGGAATATCCCACGATTATATCATATCTCACCTTATTCCATCCAACTTAAAATTATTTTATCTCATCTCTCAGGTGGAATAAATTAAATTAGTCCGAAGATAATTTAATCAGCAAACCAAACAACTCCGGCTAATATATGAAATACTAATCCCATCATTTTAGTACAAAATAATCTCGAAATTAGCTAATATCTCAAACTAAACATGAGATGATTTACCGGAAAAATCACTCCGGTGATCCCCTTCACATTTTCCGACTACCTAGGGTTCAATAACCCTTTTTCCCATTTACGTTCATTTCCCTCTTTCTCCTCGTTTGTAAACTCCTTTTCATCTTCAAACCCTAGCACAAATCGCCGGTAGCAAAACTCCGGCGACCCCCGGGAAACATTTGCCGGCAATGGTGTTTTTTGTCTTCTACTTTTATTTATTTTGTATTTCATCTAACTTTAGTCCCTTTTTTTTAACAAAATCATCATTTTCACCCTCTTGTATATATTTTTTACAATATAGCACATAAGTTTAGTCAACGATCAGAATCGATAAATAATAGAGTCTATTTAAAAATTTGTAAAGTTAAAAGAGTTATACATATCAAATTAAGCTCATAAATTAGAATTTTACTTTCATCAAAGTAAATATGTTGGGGGCGATTTAACAAATTGAGGTTAATAACTAAAATGTCATGTATAAATATGAGAATTTCGCTACCATCTCAATGGTCAATTATGAGTTTGTTAAATTTAAATATAAGTTATGATTTATTTGCACCAAACTTGCCTGTCAATATGAATACTCAGTCTATAATAATTTTGCTTAAAATATAAGGTTCGTGATTTTTTTATTTTTTATAATTCTATGATATTTGAGATTCACTGGACCAACAAAGTTAGATTCACGCGTTTAAGCTTGTTTAATAGAAAAACGCTCCTTGTATTGAATCTTCTTAGCTTTTTGTATATTATTTTATAT